ATGTTCCTTGCGCTGTTGTATTACATATTGATGGAAATTACTTACTTTGCCATCAAGATCTGCAAGTAATTTTTGTGCAACTTTGGTCTTTTGCCTCAGTACTAAATTATGCCTAAGAACCTAGTACATCAGGATATAGTGGCCTTAAATCCTTTACTGTGATCTGGGTTAGATTTGGCGCACTGAAGTGCAAACATACATATCTTGTTTCGTGTCACTACATAACCATTTTGACGATGCTCATGCAACATGTCTGCTACTTGATTTTCAAGTTCTGGCCAATGTGGGGTGCCTCTTCTTAATGCACACTTACTCCTTGGCATACTCTTTAAGGCATCTTCATTTGCTTTCCAGTCTCGGACCATCTTTTCTGTTACTGCATAATGTCTTGCAGCAGCACAGTTATTATGTTCCTTGGCAAAGTTTACAACTTTCAGTTTGAAACTGGCTTCATATTTCCTTCTTTTTGCTATAGCCATGATGGGGTCTTGTCTACCAGCCATTTTGTTTAACTATACGGTACACCCACTAATCCGTCAGCCCACTGGATGTGCGGTAATACGGTACTATATGTACGGTAGCTTCAGCTACATACAGTATACAGTATATATACAGCCCGCTGGATGTGCAGTAATAATGTACATACAGTATACAGTGCTGAGCCAAGCTGGCTCAAAACAAATGTTCCTATGACAGATCAATCTGTCAGCCCGCTAGATGTGCGGTATATACAGTATACTGCGCTGAGCCAAGCTATCTCAAAACGTACCGGTATGTCCCTATGGTAATCAGCCCACTGGATGTGTGTATGTACTGTAGTTGCAGCTACAGACAATATACGCTGGGACAATCACGGCAAACAATGTATTCTACTAAAGAATACAAAGCCTGCTCGGATTGGCTGAGTCAGAGAGGTGGGCTGATGATGGCACAACCTCAGCCAATCCAAGCAGGCTTTTTATTCATTAGTAGAATACATCACTCGCTGTGATTGGCCCAGCATATACTGTATGTAGCCGCAGCTACTGTACATACACACATCCAGCGGGCTGATTACCTTAGGGACGTACCGGTACTTTTTAAGACAGCTTGGCTCAACGCTGTATACTGTATGTACAGTATTACTGCACATCCAGCGGGCTGACAGATTAATCTGTCACAGGGACATTAGTTTTGAGCCAGCTTGGCTCAACACGGTATACTGTATATACTGCACATCCAGCGGGCTTACAGATTAATCTGTCATAGGGACATTCATTTTGAGCCAGCTTGGCTCAGCGCAGTATACTGTATATACCGCACATCCAGCGGCCTGACAGATTAATCTGTCATAGGGACATTCATTTTGAGCCAGCTTGGCTCAGCACGGTATACTGTGTACTGTATGTACAGTATTACCGCACATCCAGCCAGCTTGACAAGGTTCACATTTTATACCCCACGTATAAGACAACCCCTGATTTTTGGGGTATATTTTTAAGTATAAAAAGTCGTCTTATACGCTAGAAAATACGGTAGTTCTTGACTGTCATGAATTTCCTTAAAAAACTATTTTTTACCCATTGAAAAAAATTTGGTAATGTAAGATATTGTTTAAAATGAAGTCCAGATATTTGGGAAAGCAAATTTCAATGTGAACATGTTTCTGCAGTGATTTTTCATTTTGTTAGACGTGCTTCTAGGACGTCTGTTTTTTAGACTGATTCCTGTATTGTGCCTAGTTGGTAAATTGGCTTTCGAGTCTACTTGTTAGACTCTTTCTTTAGTAAATGTCTTTGCCATCTAAACGTAGACAGACTCTAATGAAAAGTGGACTTTAGCCCACAGAAATGTGTCTATGCACATTAGTAAATCAGGGCCTGAATGTTTTTAGGATATGGTACTTAATTTATAAACAAATCGGGTGGGAATATAATTCACCATTGATACCATTAGTAGGAACAAATTATTTCACACGGGGGAAGAGTATTATTTCAGAGATGTTGACGTTTAAAAGATATTATGAAAATGGGAGAACTATGCTCTTTACAGGAGCTGAAACACAAAAAGGATATGTTTTTCTTTGATGGATGAATGGCGGTACTATCAACTAAAACATTTTGTTACAGCACTTCCACAGCCTATAACAGGGGTGGAAAATTTGCACCCATTAGAGCACTTGATGAGTTTATAAGGAATACAAAAACATTGCACTTCTTGTATATATAAGACACTTACCATAATATCTGAATTTACTCCATTAGGGTATATGGAGAAATGGGAAAATTAATTGTGAACACAATTGAATGAACAACAGAAAAAGAAAATATTTAGGATTGTACATGGAGTAACGGATATGAACACAGGTGAGATGAATTATAAACACCTGACAAGATGGTATGCTACGGCCAGTAAAGTTCATAAGTATCATTCCGAGAACTCTTCACTTTGTTGGAGAGGTTGTGGGAGAGAAGGTACTGTCAGGAATGGACTAGCCAGCAATGGTGGGACTCACCTGCCTTTTGATCTGCAGTACCAGGGCTGGCCAGCGGGTGCTCCCAGCAATCAGAGACTCAACTTTGCAGCCAGCTAACACCTGGAACTGATTATGCTGGGGTATTTAAGGGATGGCCAGACTTGCAGACTCTGCCTTGGTGTTGTGTTTCTCTTGGGCCCTGTATCCTGTTCCTGCTCTCTGTTCCTGTCTGATTCTCTGCTGACCCTGCTCTGATCCCTGGCTTGTCTGACCATCCCTCTGCCTGACCCTCTGTACTACGCTGCCTGCTACCTGTTCTGATCCCTGGCTTGTGACCCTGACCATCCCTCTGCCTGACCCTCTGTACTACGCTGCCTGCTACCTGTTCTGATCCCTGGCTTGTGACCCTGACCATCCCTCTGCCTGACCCTCTGTACTACGCTGCTAGCTACCTGCTGAACCTGGCCTGTGACCCCGACCAATCTCCGCTTGCTCCCCCTGTACCTACCTGCCCAATTGATATTGACCCGGCCTGCCTGACGACGCTTGCTTGTATGTACTGTTATCTGTGGGTGGTTGGTTTGGTTTGTTTGCACTGTATTATGTTTTAGTATTGCACTGCGTTTATGTTTGTATTGTTAGTGTTAATAAATTATATTGTTTATCACATATCTGAAGTCTGCGTTTCCCTGCGTCAGTCACACACCTCTGGTCACACCTGGGAGCCCTGACATTACACCAAGGCCAATCCTGACCAGAAGTGGCTGCACAGGGAAGCCATCTTGGCTTGTTGCTGGGAAGGATGGATCTGGATGAGGTTGTGTATTTATATCTGCTAGTGTTTGATGACAGGGAGTATGCTTATCAAACTCTGAAGGAGTATCCCAGGGATCAACTACTAGAATGTATACGGCTCGCTCATGTTCTAGTAGATCAGGGCACAGAGTTCTCTGAGGTGCAGCCTTTGATTGAGGTTTGTGCTGAGTTGGTTTCATCTGGTTCCCCCAAATGCAGGGATGAATTTTTGCCACCATTTAGTGCAGACCAGGTAGAGTCCCTGGTGTGGTTATTAGAGGATGATGTGGGTTACTTTCTGGAGCGTTATTCCACATGTTCACCACAGACACTAAGAGATTGTATAAACGCAGTGCAGTCATTGACCAGACAGGCTTTGTGTAAGCTCAGCTTTGTTCAACCCCTACTGCAGACATGGACAGACTTGTTGCACCCAGCCTCAGTCAGCTTACAAAAACCCAGTCCTGCTTCTAACTCTACTCCTGTATTCCCACCAGCTCCTCCAGTTACAGCCCAGTATACTTGGCTATCTACCGCATGTCAGTACCCTGTTCCCACTCGCTGCACCTATCCTGCCTTTAACCCTGTAAAAAAGCCCTCTGTAGCAACTGCTCCCTCTCCTGTTCCATCCTCCAGTTTTTCTCTGTCTCCAGCTGCTCCATTCGTTTGCAGACCTGCGTTTACTTGCAGTGCTCCAGTAGTTAAAACCAGAAAAAAGCGAAAATTCTTTCCAACCAATACCATCCTGCCAGTATCCAAACCGGTGAACCTGCCTTCCGTGACTCAGCCTGAAGCCTCTACTCAGCCTGAAGCCTCTCTCTTCGGCCGGATGCCTCTCTTCGGCCGGATGCCTCTCTTCGGCCTGAAGCCTCTACTCTCGGCCTGAAGCCTCTACTCGGATGCCTCTACTCAGAAAGCCTCTACTCGCCTGATGCCTCTACTCATGATGCCTCTTCAGCCTGATGCCGCTACTCAGCATGATGATGAACTGATCCAGCCCGACGATCCTATTAGGCCAGTTGACTCGATGCCCGCTGTTGATCCAGATGATCCGGTACCTGATCCAGTGCCCGCTGTCGTGCCAATTGACTCAGAGCCCGCTGTCATACCTGGTGACCCGGTGCCCACTGCCTTGCCAGATGACGCGGTGCCCGCTGGCAAGCCAAATGACCTGATGCCTGGTGACCCAGTGCCCGCTGTCATACCTGGTGACCCGATGCCCGCTGTCGAGCCAGACAATCCGATACCTGATGACCCGGTGCCCACTGTCGTGCCTGTTGACTCGGAGCCCACTGTCTTGCCAGACGACTCGGTGCCCGCTGTTCCGCCAGTCGACTCGGTGCCCGCAGTCAGTCTTGCCAGACGACTCGGTGCCCGCAGTCTTGCCAGACGACTCGGTGCCCGCAGTCTTGCCAGACGACTCGGTGCCCGCAGTCTTGCCAGACGACTCGGTGCCCGCAGTCTTGCCAGTTGACTCGATGCCCGCAGTCCGCCAGACGACTCGGTGCCCGCAGTCCGCGCCAGTTGACTCGATGCCCGCTGTTTGCCAGTTGACTCGATGCCCGCTGTTCCGCCAGTTGACTCGGTGCCCGCAGTCTTGCCAGACGACTCGGTGCCCGCAGTCTTGCCAGACGACTCGGTGCCCGCAGTCTTGCCAGACGACTCGGTGCCCGCAGTCTTGCCAGACGACTCGGTGCCCGCAGTCTTGCCAGATGACTCGGTGCCCGCAGTCTTGCCAGTTGACTCGATGCCCGCAGTTCCGCCAGACGACTCTCGGTGCCCGCAGTCTTGCCAGACGACTCGGTGCCCGCAGTCCCGCCAGTTGACTCGATGCCCGCTGTTCCGCCAGACGACTCGGTGCCCGCAGTCTTGCCAGACGACTCGGTGCCCGCAGTCTTGCCAGACAACTCGGTGCCCGCAGTCTTGCCAGACAACTCGGTGCCCACTGTCGTGCCTGGTGACTCGGTGCCCGCCGCTTCGTCTGGGGACCCGAGACCTGTTGCTCCGCCCGGGGGGGGCCCGAGACCTGTCGCTCCACCTGGGGGTCCGGCGCCCGCCGCTCCGCCTGAGGGCCCGAGACCTGTTGCTCCACCTGGGGGTCCGGCGCCCGCCGCTCCGCCTGAGGGCCCGAGACCTGTCGCTCCATCTGGGGGTCCGGCGCCCGCCGCTCCGCCTGGGGCCCGAGACCTGTCGCTCGCCTGGGGGCCCGAGACCTGTCGCTCCGCCTGGGGGTCCGGCGCCCGCCGCTCCGCCTGAGGGCCCGAGACCTGTCGCTCCACCTGGGGGTCCGGCGCCCGCCGCTCCGCCTGAGGGCCCGAGACCTGTCGCTCCATCTGGGGGTCCGGCGCCCCCCGCCCCGCCTGAGGGCGCCTGAGGGCCCGAGACCTGTCGCTCCGCCTGGGGGCCCGAGACCTGTCGCTCCACCTGGGGGTCCGGCGCCCGCCGCTCCGCCTGAGGGCCCGAGACCTGTCGCTCCACCTGGGGGTCCCGGCGCCCGCCGCTCCGCCTGAGGGCCCGAGACCTGTCGCTCCATCTGGGGGTCCGGCGCCCGCCGCTCCGCCTGAGGGCCCGAGACCTGTCGCTCCGCCTGGGGGCCCGAGACCTGTCGCTCCACCTGGGGGTCCGGCGCCCGCCGCTCCGCCTGGGGGCCCGAGACCTGTCGCTCCCATCTGGGGGTCCGGCGCCCGCCGCTCCGCCTGAGGGCCCGAGACCTGTCGCTCCGCCTGGGGGCCCGAGACCTGTCACTCCATCTGGGGTCCGGCGCCCGCCGCTCCGCCTGAGGGCCCGAGACCTGTCGCTCCGCCTGGGGGCCCGAGACCTGTCACTCCATCTGGGGGTCCGGCGCCCGCCGCTCCGCCTGGGGGCCCGATGCCTGTCGCCCCGCCTGGGGGCCCGATGCCTGTCGCCCCTCCCGGGGGCCCGATGCCTGTCGCCCCGCCTGGGGGCCCGATGCCTGTCGCCCCTCCTGGGGGCCCGGCGCCCGCCGCTCTGCCTCTGCCCGGCGCCCGCCTGCCTGGGGGCCCGGCGTCTGCCCGCCCCGCCTGGGGGCCCGATGCCTGCTGGTGCCTCTGCCCGGGGGCCCGATGCCGGTGCCTCCGCCCGGGGGTCCAGCCCGATGTGCCTCTGCCCGGAGTCCCCCGCCCCCTGCCCGGAGTCCAGCCCGGGGGCCCGGTGCCTGCCCGATGTGCCTCTGCCCGGGGTCCAGCCCGATGTGCCTCTGCCCGGAGTCCCCCGCCCGCCCGGTGCCTCTGCCCGGAGTCCATCCCGATGTGCCTCTGCCCGGAGTCCAGCCCGATGTGCCTCTGCCCGGAGTCCTCTGCCCGATGTGCCTCTGCCCGGTGTGCCCTTGCCCAATGTGCCTCTGCCCGGTGTGCCCCTGCCCGGTGTGCCGCTGCCCGGAGTCCTGCCCGGTGTGCCGCTGCCCGGAGTCCTGCCCGGTGTGCCAGTCTTTGATATCCCGCCAGTTACCAGACCCGGGCGGTGGAACATTTTGCCCAGCTAGGACTGTTTGGAGCGTCCTGAGGCCGCTCCTTGAGGGGGGGGGGTACTGTCAGGAATGGACTAGCCAGCAATGGTGGGACTCACCTGCCTTTTGATCTGCAGTACCAGGGCTGGCCAGCGGGTGCTCCCAGCAATCAGAGACTCAACTTTGCAGCCAGCTAACACCTGGAACTGATTATGCTGGGGTATTTAAGGGATGGCCAGACTTGCAGACTCTGCCTTGGTGTTGTGTTTCTCTTTGGGCCCTGTATCCTGTTCCTGCTCTCTGTTCCTGTCTGATTCTCTGCTGACCCTGCTCTGATCCCTGGCTTGTCTGACCATCCCTCTGCCTCACCCTCTGTACTATGCTGCTGCTACCTGTTCTGATCCCTGGCTTGTGACCCTGACCATCCCTCTGCCTGACCCTCTGTACTACGCTGCCTGCTACCTGTTCTGATCCCTGGCTTGTGACCCTGACCATCCCTCTGCCTGACCCTCTGTACTACGCTGCTAGCTACCTGCTGAACATGGCCTGTGACCCCGACCAATCTCCGCTTGCTCCCCCTGTACCTACCTGCCCAATTGATATTGACCCGGCCTGCCTGACGACGCTTGCTTGTATGTACTGTTATCTGTGGGTGGTTGGTTTGGTTTGTTTGCACTGTATTATGTTTAGTATTGCACTGCGTTTATGTTTGTATTGTTAGTGTTAATAAATTATATTGTTTATCACATATCTGAACACAGTGAAACAATATAAGAGGATTGTATTTCATTTAATTAATGCGGCAAAAGGATTGATCCCTACATTTTGGAAGACCCAGGAATCACAGATTGGATAAAGAGGGTAGAATATATTTATAAGAAAGAAGAGCTATACCATATTGGAGAAGATAAAATGGAGAAAATGTGGAAAAGGTGGTGTGAATTTAGGACTACATGGAGATTCACTGAACTGCTGGATTAAGAGGGAAAAGGGAACAAGGAGAGGGAGGAATGGGGCGAAAAGAGGTTATTTTAATTAGTGAGCATTAGTGAATAAGAAGAGAATGGGAAGGGGAAATATGGGAGGCATTGGTATTTGTATAATGTAATTAACAACAATAAAAAAATAATAATTAAAAAAAGAACATTTACCACTAAACTAGTGTATGCCTATTGTGACAGGGTGAGGCCATGCCACTGTGTGATAAGGCTGTCTGGGCCAGGTTTTGGAGAAAACAGTCCCACTAATGACACAGGTGTGTGCTGTTATTTTAGGAAAGGCAGGATTAGAGGACAGTGATTATAAGGGAGAAAGAAGTCGAGGAACATGGTCCCATCCAGGTGTCCGAAGTGCCCAAAGTCATAGGCCCGAGTCTGAAAGAAAGAAGCCGAGAGATAGGGTCTCACCCAGGGGTCAGAGGTGCCCCAAACCAGAGGCCCAAGTTTGAGAAAAAGTCTATGAGAGTGTCACGGTGTAAGGTCAGGTTCAGAGACCAGTTGCTATAGCAGTAAAAGGCTTACCTGGAACCAGCAGGATAGGTACACCAGCGGATCCCCCTGGGAATGACGCAGGCTCACCTGAGGTGCGGGATCTAAGTATTAACCGGTATTCACCAGAGCTCCTAATG